GGAATTCCCGCTGACATTCCGACGCTTAATCGGCCTATCCCGGGCTTATGCTCAACGGATTTGGAAACCAACAATTGGCATGGGTGGATAGTCATAGGGTTTATTGCGGTCAGTACATTAGGACACTTGAGTCCATTTACAGAGAGGACAGTATTAACATTATTGCAATATTCGAAACTTTCAACAAATAGACTTGGGCTAGAGATTTAAGTAAATATTTATAGTTTTTAAACATATTACAGTTTAAGTGGTTGTTTGGGAATCCTAATGATACACTTTATATCAATTTGGGCTGTTAATACAATAATATTGTTATATTATGTAACATAACTAATTTTGTAATCTATTGCATTTTTTTAATCGCTATATTATCATGAAAATAACTAAATATGTAATACAAGTTATACAAGGTGTTTTCAAATACTTTATGTGTCTTATAAAATATGTATTAAATAATTACTTCGTTGACATTCATAAAGTCAAGTAAGCTTGTAAATTGTAAGTATAATAACTTTACCCTAAAAAACTTCGAAGTTCCATTTAGATCATCATGGACGTTTTTTAAACTTAACAAAGCCTAATCTGGGAAATGGAGCATGAAACACATCCGGTAAAATATTATCTATACAAATTGTTGAAATTAAAGTTCAATTGCCTTTTTTGCATTTTTTTTCACCACAGCCGCATATTGCTTAATCGGTTGGCAAAACGATTATACGAAAATCATAATACCCGTTGGCGGCTTATTTGACAGTATTTATAGCGCATAAAACGATTATCCGTTATACCCCATTATTCCGTATAAGTTGGTCCACAAAATTCATGACGCTAAATCGATGCGATGAGTGCTCTCTCCCTCTGTGTGACATAGGTACACATAATAATAATATAAACTAGGAATACAACATGATATTGGAAATTTCCACGATTTTTATGGGTCGTTAATTATCCAGAGTCGTAAATTTCTGATGAACAAGTTTAATAAAAACAAATCGAAACGCTTTAGCTTTCAATAAAAATACCTATATGTATTATAGCTGTATACACTTTAAAATTTTTTTATTTATAGACGCATATCACAAATTTATTACCTATATTATATGAATAGTATGTAATATATAGGACATAATAAAGAAAACCTATTACTAGCAATTTAGTTGTTTCTGGAAAATGTTTTCAAATCAACATCTATAATATATATTTACATTTTAAATTACGAAAAAATGGTAAATGCCATATCTAGATCGTCGTATACACGTTGTATAATGTGTCTGACTAGGGAAAGAACATTTTAAGCATTAATGAGATGGAATTCCGCTGAATGTCCATTATATATACAAAATACAAATGAGTATTAAAAATATATTTTAACGTTGCGGTTCTAACGAATATAAAATACATTTTATTATTTGAGGATTTTGAACCGAAACTTACCAATCATATTGTTTCTCGATTGTTTCCCATTACAATATTGTGTACATTGAATTCAATTTGAATTATAACTTTATTTGAAATATAACTAAGTAGCTGATTATTAATATTATATGGAAATGTAAGGATTTATGGTTGGATACATTTTACATATTATATAGTAAAAAGTGTATTTGACTGTATGCGAACTACCGACACTATTTAGGTTAAGTACACTATCTATCAAAATGTTTCATACCATGAACGTGACCCTCCAACATTTTTACAAGTTTACATATATTATTAAATATAAGATGTATCTCATATGTTTGAGATACTTTTATTTTTTTAAACATTTTAAAGAGCCATATATTTTAAAGATACCATCTGAATCTAGTTTTTACATTTTCGTTCACACTGTTTCTGTAACCCCATCGCATTCTACATTATTATTTTTTTTGCGACACAACATTTTTATCTGTCTTGTCTGAAGACTAAAATAATTTTTCATATTTTTAGAACTTTCCACATATTTTTTGTATTGGCAATCAACAAATGTAGCTTTTTAATAAATAGTATCTAATACATGTGTATAAAGTAATATTTCAATTTCTTGTTGATCAGCACTTACTCTAATATTGTAACTTGCTATTATTTATTTCTAATATAAAAATTGAGTATAAATAATATGTATTCTAGCAATATATTTCACTATTTCAAAACAATTTATATTTTATAATTATTGACAAACTGTTTTGTACAGACTACAGACAACATTCCAAGTTTAAATTCCATTTGAAATATTTGAAATTTTGATGACAACTTAATTATAGAAGTATAGAACATTTCAACTATTTTCTCAAAATTGAAAATAATAATTAGCTCAACATAAGTTATTTAACTAAAAAAGTATAGTAATAAATGAACTTCTGCACTTTTATTTAAATTATTATTCAGATCATAGTTATTAACTATGCCATTATTAATTAATGAAATACTCAATGTCTCTATACGTTTTTCTATTTTAAATTGAAATATTGAAGAATTACCCATAATAGATATATTTATTTTATTATTTATATTATTATTGCCTTACATAATGTTATTTCAAATTCATTGTAAATTATATTTTTTAGTTGTGTAATAAATAATTTACTAAAAAGAACAACTGAATAAAACAAACCATGAACTATATGTAATTTTTTTGAAAAGCAAATTAATATTTTACATCATAGGGTTGTATTTGAGATAAAAAAATGTATTAATAATTATTTGATAAATATTTTACACTAAAAAACCTCGGATTATTTTTTTTTACAAAAGTGCACTGTTGTTTGTTGAAGTACGATTATAACAGATTTTTTTCAGATCAAATATTAGGTGTTGATTTTATGATTGTATTTTATTTGATTCGCTTATTTTTCTTAAGAAAAACACGAAGAAAATGTTCACTAATGATTATTTTTAAAGCTTTGTTTTTGTTTTCGTTAAATAGCAAAATGTAATATTAATGTTTTTATGAAAATAACTTGGCTCAGAACACAATTTTATAGACAAAATAATATTATATTAGAGGAACATCATCTATACAAATAAAAATTATTTAAGATAAAAGGAAATATTTTTAAGTGAATAAAATAGATAGATTTATCAATGTTCGAATGAGATATTCAACATTTAATATCTCTAAAAGTGTATTGGAGGGTAATGAGAACAAATTGAGAAAAAGAAATATTATATTTAGAAGAAAATATAAATGCCTCAAGCGGCCAAGCTGGGAAACCGAAGGACGGAAAAAGATCGTTTAAAATTCGAGACGTCATCACGAAGATTATCCAACAAACTTATTGTGTATACAGCCGCTGGACATATTTTATACCAAAACATTTTTTTATTAAAAAAATAACTTTGTGCATTCTTCGACCACATTGTCAGCATCGACTCAACAATGAAACTGTTAATTAAATTTCAAATATGAACTAGTATGACATACAATATTTTTTATTATGGTTTACGGATAAATCGAACGTGAATGATAACCTAAACCAAAATATATAAACTAGTTTATAAACGTTTAGTAATACACTATTTTTATATTAAATTCGGGGTTTTTGGTAAGATATATAAAAATATTAATATTTTAGCAATCGGATAATCACGTTCAAAGTGGTGGCAAAATCGGAAACCTGTGTCTTGTTTATTTGCATCCGTAATCTATTCAATGATACCGACGATACCTACTTGTATTTGATCGGACGGAGTAGGCGTATAATTATGTATATATAAAAAAAACGATTAAGAATCGTCTGGTTGAATCTCGAACGTCAATAAAATACGTATTCAAATAATTACAAATATTTTTCGCCGGCAGTTAGGTAATAATATTATCAATAAAATAGTTACAACTCAAAATCGAACGTAGGTACCTAATACATTAATTAAAAATAATAATAAACTGTATTTCCGTTGACTACCTGCAGATTTAGCTACACGATTAGAGGGTACACACCAGGATGTAAATATTTTACTTATTATATACGCCTTATTTTTTTTCATATATTATAATTTACGGTTATTGTAAAACTTAATGTTTATAAATTGTGTAGGTATATCATCCAGTAAAAAATAAATGAAAATATTTTTTTAAGCGTAAACTGGTGCATTTTATAAAATGCATTTTTAATTTAGAAAGAAAATAACAGAGTCTATATTATAGTGATTATTAACTTTTCAATAACCGGTATTTATAGGAGGTATTGAAAAATTTGCCAGGATGCAAATACTGATTAAAAATATGAGATATCCTCACTTAAGATGATATACTCGTGCAAAGAATTTTCTCGTGTTGAAAGTATGTTATCCGTAACCAATTAAAACAATTTCCTGTTTTCAAGTATATATATCAGAATATTAAATTATTATACGCAAGGGGTGCCTTTATGATTGATTTTTTTTTAATTTCACAACAAATATTTTAAAATAGTTTCGTTATTCTTTGTTAGGTAGTTAGATATTATATCGGGACTTGCACGGAAATCCAGATCGAACGTAAACAATGATATATCATATCATAATAACAAATATATTATCCTATTACGCGGTGCGTTACATTTGCTCAAATCGTAGGGTCTCATAGTCCTTAATAATGAAACAGTTTTAAATTTTGAACACGAGCATACATCGTCATTGAATGGCAATTATAATAGTATTATATAACTTGTTGATAAATACAAATAGTTTATTTAGCATAGAATGTTACTTATAATTGATTTAAATTTATTTTAATTCGTTTTGCATAAAATGTTACCTATGCTTGCAGATTTAAATTTATAATTTATTTTGTTAATAGAGGTATCGAATGTAACGGTTCGGTTTGGTTCGGCGAGTTTGAAAAGCTAAGCCGCTGACTGGTCGAATTCTTCTAAAAGTGTTTGGCGCTTAAGCCTTCTTTTTTCGGGATATTTGCGTCCATTGTGCGTAGGTATTACCTATATTTTATGTACAGTAGTCAAAGGTACCCACTCACACACGTGTAGTGGAAAAGCTGACGAAATGTTCGTAAACATAAATAATTATTAACGGCAACTAACCTATCGTTGGGTCGGGGCGGCGGAGGCACAAAAGACACGGTGGACATTTGCTGGAGTTCCATGACCGTGGCCCTGCCGCCACCGCCGCTGCCGCCGTTGATGCCAAAGGCCGAAGCCGAGGACGACTGCTTTTTCGTCGCTCCGTACAGCTGTCGGTAATATTTTTCCTGATCTCCGTACATCCAACACACTTTCCACCATTGGCGGCACATCAACACGTTCGACGACGGCGTCTTGTTGGCGGCGGTCGCGGTGACGGACGACGACGACGCGACAGTCGCGGCGGCCGCGGTGGTGGTGGTGGTCATCGTCACTTCGCGGTAAACCGAGACGCCCATCGCGGGCGGGCGCGAAAAAAAAAACGGAACGACCAGGCGGAAAATTCACCCGGTGGCCGCGGACCGGCAAATAAAATATGAAAATATTTTTGGTCGCGGATATTCGGACGGTGCGCGAGGAACGTGTGCGCGCGCACTACACGCGCCAGAAAACGGCGAAGACGAATCGACGGCGAGACAACCCGTTGCAGTGCTCTGCAGGCTACCGGTCGGTCTCGGACACTGGTCCGCCTCGCCGACGACGACGGTCGCCTCGCAGCCACCGCCGCGCCGCCCGCCTCCTCGTCGGCCGGTCTCCAGCCGCACACGGTTCGGCGTCGGAGTGGTGTCGGTAGAGGGGTGGGGAGAAGGCCGGCGGCGACTCGGCCTGCGAACGTCGTATCCTTTTTCCTTGCGACTACCTATATGTGGTGACTGTGTGTGCGTGTGTGTGTGTATTATTATACCGGGTGATCCATTTGACGCAAGACAGTCTTAAAGTGTTTTTGAAAATATTTGTTTCACATCTTTTCAAGTCGTTGGAAATCAACATTAAAAAAAATATATGCACATTATAACTGATTTTTTATTTTTTTTTTTTACGTTTCACGACATGTATTTTCGATTCCTTGTTCCAGAGCAGAATACATTTTTGTTTGCTTCCATCCATAAAAATCGAATTCTGAACGAGGAGTCTACGAGTTGAAAGTAGATATTTAAAGTTTAGATGAGCGGAGCGGAGTAGTTCCAGGTGGCAGTGCTGGCCTTCCGCAAAACGCAGTTGGTCCATTGACCAGTAGCGCACTACTCCGTTCATCTAAACTTAAGTAAAGACTGATAAAGTGTTTGTCCGAAATTTGAATTTTATGTATCTCCAATTAGTATTTTTCTTCAGAGTATATGAATTTAAAAATGTATGTTGTAATTCAGAAAAGTAAACACTTAAAAACGACAAAAATCAAACTTTATGGAGAGTTTTAAAGGCTAAAAATCATGTAGGTAAACAAAATATTACCAAAAACGTTAGTGTTTTCTGAAATAATGAGTGTCTTACGTTAAATAGATCACCCCGTATAACATAAGCTGTGTGGTTCGACGGCAGTAAAATTAGACGGTCCGTTTTATATACACGTGTAGGTACCCGGGCGCGTGTGCGTGTGGGTCGCGTGTGTTCTAATAACGTTATATAGGTATTATATAAAGTGGTGGTGCGCGAGACTCCTCGGGGCTAAATGAGAGAATATTCAGGTATTTTTTTTTCTCTTCGCTCCTTTTTTTTCTCCATTTTATTACGTTTTTTCATCCTTTTTACCGACAACGATGGATTTCGTACAACAACAACAACAACGACATGCGGTCTATCTTGCAGTGCGTGTAATACAAAAAAAAAATCTACCTTGAACGCACTTCACCACTCAGGTATACCCGCGAGTATATTATAATATAGATGTTTAATTATTTATGTATTTATGTTTAATTATTAAGTTTTTAGGCCCAATTACATAAATTAGATAATAACAACAAACGTTCGTAAAAACTAATGAAATAATGATAACAATACATTGCCAGCACAAATTATGAATCGAATAACAAATAATACTTATAATGCTGCCAAGTATGAAATTACAACACATTTTTTATGAGTCAACATTAATTGCAGGTGAGATGAAAAAATCGATTATTAATTTATTTATGGTTATATAACATTCTATTGCATTACGTCCACCAAATTATAGTTACCTACTTCTTTGTTGAAATAAAGTGTATCATTGCTACTTATTAGATCGATAGCTACGACTTACGAGCAGAAAAAATGTAAGGGAAAATGTTTAAGAAATTACTAGGACAGTTGATATTCCCGATGAAAAGTCTACGTAGAAAATGTAAATCTTATCACAAGCGACGTGTTTTAAGGTTAAAAACAGATACAAGTATGTAGAGAGTACGAAGAATGCGGGTCCCTCGTCAAGGGACGTTTAAACGAGGTGGACCGTAAGAATATTTGCCGAATGTTTTGTCTAGCGTATACATTTAAGACCCGACTGGTACGGAGACCATAAAATAATGTATCATAATTGAGCTATATTCAGAAATTAGACACACCAAATATTTATATTTTATATAATACAACAACAATAGGAACTGGGCATGTAATAATACCGCGATGATACCGCTGCCGAGTGCAGGTTACCTACCTGCCGCGTGTTTGGTACGCGTACACCACAAACACATGTGATACCTAACGTGTAAGATCGTGTGTTCCGAGGGACGGGGCCACAAGACACGGATCTCGGGGTGGCGTGTGTCGGGTAGCGAGGGACGGACGGGGTGGTGGCGTGGATGGATCTAGGGGTGGCGTGTTCGGAGGGTAGTTTTTCTTTCTTTCAGCACGCAGTGGTTCTCAAAATAAGACTCAGCGTCGTGTATATATTTACCGCGCATTACAAGGCGGTTTAATATTATATTTTTTTATTGTTACACGGTGGACGACGGCACCGCGTGAACCTACCTACCTACCTACCCATGTATGTAGCAACGTCACCGTCGTGTCCGGACACGTTCCACGAGCGGAATTTCTCGGGCGAGACGTTCCGGCAATAATTTGACTATTATACGTCATATACCTATACTCGATATAACCGCTACGAAATCGACAGTCCTCCGTTCATAATTCGGCCAAATTAACCCGACTCGGCGTAATTGGAATGCCGTCTTAACAAGTCGTAATGCCATTTCAATTACGGCGACGACGTGAGGTTCAGACGGCGGCCCGTGCACCGCGGCTGCATTTTCACAATGGAGATTTTCGTCGGAGACGTGACAAATATCCTATTACGAAACGATGTTCCGCCTAAAACGCGTCTGCCGCATTATTATAATATAATTCCGTGCGACGTAATTAACGTTTTGTACGGCGACATGCACGGATTTACGACTCTGCAGCGGTGATGATAATAATAATAATAATAATAATAATAATAATATTATTATTATTATTATTATTATTATATTACAATATACCCACACGACACACTATAATGGTTATCCCGCACAGTCAATGATATATTTTGACGTGTATATTTTCCTGCAGAAAGCACTCCAAACAAAAATATAATTTATCATTTCCAGGCGGTTTCATAATATATTATAATAAATAATATACAATATTAAAGTCATACGCCAATGCGTCAGAAAGTTTTTTTTTTATTTAAAAATGAATGCATTTAAATATTTTCCTGAAATATTATCTCCTATACCTATATTAATATAAGGAAGCTGAAGGGATTTTACACTGTGTGTGGACGCGACAATTTCAAAAAGTACTGGACCGACTACAACAAAACTTTTAGGAATTCTTGAGACTCGGGCTATGTTTTTAACTTCTTTTTCGACCCTCACAGATTGCTATAGGGTGGTTCACTCGAGAATTTCGTTTCCGAAAAATCAAATAATTTATTAAATACAGGGGTTTACAAATATTTAGGGTTTCCATTGGTTACAGAAACAAAATTGAAATCAAAAACAATGGTCTTTAGACACTAGCCGACCCACCATGCATTGCTAAGGGATTTATTTTAAATAAAATTAAATAGGTAACTAAAATTATTATAAGTTAACAAATGTACAACAAAAGGCGCAACCTTCTTATGTTCGTTATTTATATATGTACTCAAAAACTAATCGTCCGGTTTTGACGAAAGTTTCATAGATGGTTCTTAGAGGTATAGGGAAAGTTTAGAGTGTAATTTAAACTATGTTTGAAAATATACCAAGCACTCTATCGAATCCACAATAAGTCGGATAGCTCATCTCGGTCGAATAATTTCACGAAGCTGATAGGTATACACTGATGCTGATTTCCTCGTGGACTGAGGTAAGCTAAAACCGAGATAGCGCCATCTCTTATGTCTATTTTTTTCCGGTCGAAGTCTGGTTATACAGCTAATATAAATATATTATTAGATGATGATTTTAGTAATTATTAATAATTTTGGCTTTATATTGTAGGTATGCAACTATTCATCTAAACGATTTTGTATATAATATTACACTATATTATATAGACAAAACGTATTTATTGATTTCGATATTTTAGTTATACATGTTATATTATGTTATTCTTTATTATACCTACATAAGTTAATATATTTTTACACGACTAATATTTACCATATGAATTTTCATTTCAAATTATGAACTCGTAGGCTCCACTCTCGTCATATTCTTGAAGAATTAATAAAAACAAACTATATTATAATTACTAACAATTTATCGTGTATTATCTATATCGACTATAAAACAATCGCACACCAAAACATTTTTAAAGTTATTGCAAGAGATATCACATGTACCTACCTATTAGTAATAAGTAATACCTACGTTACGATTTATTTCAATTAGAATGATCTAAATCGTACACATTTTTAATCAGATTTAAAATATCTTATTCCAATAAAATATAATATGTATTTACAATAAAATCCGTTCCCTACTTATTAGGTACAAAATATAATCGTTATTATTATTATTTTTTTTATTAATTATCAGAGGAGGCAACAACAACAAGGTTATTAGCCGGCGTTACATTTTTTTTACATTGGAAAAAGAAAGAATTTACATAAACTTAAATTGCACTAAATTACTTAATTATTACTAAATATATTTATATTTGTACTTTTTTTCTTGGGTACCTTATAATTTGAAATGAGACGGTGCAGTCCTGTTTCATTGATGAAATTGATAAATTTTTTTGGACGTTTCGGGAATGAGTGCAAGTATCTCATATTATACAGTCTCTGGTAAATCGTTATTGTTAAAAGACACCTATTACTTTTCTTAGAGTCATCAACGATAATTCAGTTTTAAAATCTAAATAAAGCAACTTAATTAAATAACATAAACCATTGAGGGCTATCGTATTATACCAATTTCATATTTTGTTCCCGAAATTAAATTCTCGGTTTACACAAGTTTACTTGTTCAAACAAAAAAATATTATTTAAATTGTATATTTAGAAAAAAATTACCATATGCTCAAAAAAAAAAAATGTAATGCAATTTTGACGATTGCTCTTTAATTAATAATTTATCATCTCAAGGCAAAAGTTAAAAGTGGTAAAAATAGGAAAATTAGTAAAACTATCTGCTAGATAAAAATATTTACACATTCAAATATTTAATTAACAGGACGAGCACCATAAGGTCCAGTTTTGCTTCTAACTACATTTTGATGATTGCCAACAATGATTTTAC